TTTCCATTCTTGATATGTAAATATTTTTTCCTATCCAGTATCTTTATTAGATAGTTTTCTTCCTAAAATGTAAAACTTTGATTTATTTATAGTTAAAATGGCATCTTATCGGCGCTAGAATTACTCCAGTTGATAAATATATTACTGCAGATGCACGCAGGTTTCAGAAAAACACGCAGGCTGTTTGTTCGCAAACTCGACTCTCATGAAGGTCACTCATGAAGGTCACTCTCATGAAGGTCATGAAGATAAATAAGGTCAGTTTAATTATTTTAAGACATAGGACCTAAAATAAATATGAAATTGATGAAATTTCGATAGTTCGTTGAAAGATTTGCTGTTGGTAATATCAAAAACTTAAGATATCCCGTGCTGTAGTAAATTAAATCGTGTAACGTTTTAAAGGAATTAATGGATAATTAAAATATTTCCTACCACAGATTGCCATTTGGCTTATACTTTAGCACTAAGATAAACATCGATTTATTCTCTAACAACACACAAATGTTCATTCCGTGAATTTTTCTAGCATTTGTACTTGCTTCTGTTCTAAGTACAAATGTAAAATACTAGTTCTTTAAATAGCCACTTTGTATGGTTGTAACAAAAAATGTCACCCGGAGAAAAAGGAACGGAAAGATGGGCACCGGAAAATAAGTCACCCTTCGTCTGCAATGGAAAATGTAAGGCATGTTTAGAAAGATCGCCAAGCTGAGAGATAAAAGTTTTTTTTTTATCACAGTAACCGTAGCTTCGGATAAACGGAAACTTCTGAGAATTATTGCAAGAAGATGTGCGAGCTTCTGCTTCTCCCTTATTATGGTAAAAATAGAGTGGTATCCAGCGGGCGAAGGCGGGTTGTCCAGTGGGTGTCATTGTCAGTAATTGTTACATTAGTAACTGCTCTCCTCGCACCCCATGACCCCATAGCCTTAAGCTGCGGTTTAGTGAAACATTGATTGTCGCATAATTGAAAATTTTTAGTCCAAAGGGGCTTTGTCCCTGATGGACTATCGTTTTCGCTTTGCGATTTTGCGTTGATTCACTATAAATGTCCGTTTCACTTTTCAAACTGTTGCCACCAAATGTTAGAGTCCTGCATTGTATTTGAAGAAACTAAATAATGAAAAATCTGCATAAATGTATGTCTGTTTCTCGCATTGTGATAAAACAACGGTACATAGAGCCATCGAATTTTGAATGGCGTAATCCTCCTACTAATATGGGCATGTGGAAGACCAAATTTGAAATTTGGAATTTGTTTTAATTATAGATTTCATATGTTGTAAAACTTTAACGAATTTTGAGTAACAAAATCAACGATTTAAAAGCGAGCAATGGCAATACTCTACGGGAGGGGGGAACCTTTTTATAGTTCGACCGCCTCATCTGCGACCATGAGCGCAAACACGCATGCGCCATTCGGACCGAATTATTCTCAGAGTAGGGTGGAAGGATAGGGACTTTCTTTCCCTCCAGCATAGCTCCGGAGAAGAAAAGACCTTTCACGTCGCAGCAAGTAATACCGTCCCTTTTGGGCAAGTCTATGTGTTTTGGCAGAATGCCAACCAGGGTTGCACTTGAGACGGTCGAACTATATCTCCAGCGCGTGGAACTGTGTATCGAAAATTCCAAAGATATGCTCATTTTTAAATTATTTTGCGACATTGCTATTGAACTGAATTTTGTGCTTTAAATGCAAAGAATATGATATGTAATAAATAAAGGTAACACAGAAAACGTTTAAAAAACGCCCCTTTGGACGTAATTTAAAATCTGAAAACTTTCAGATTTTATTTTAGCTAATTAATTGTCGCATATTTTTTTTCTCATTTGATTTTAATTAAAAGTAGCGTATTTGCACAGGAAACAATTGTTTAATTTGCATTTAAGGCTGAATAGAAAAACAAGAAAATCATAGTTATTAAAAATTAAGAGGTTTATTTCAAAATTCTATTAAAAATTTAAAATCTAATTAAAATAGATCCTATAACCATGTGATTTGGATATAAACATTTAATATACAATGAACCCTCTTATGGCGACTTCTTCCAAAGGAATTGCCCAGAGTAGAAATAAACGCTTGTACTCAGCATTATCTCTCTAAGACGGCCACCTCCGCCGAAAACCAAAATAACTGGAAATGTAGACACGTCTAACAGAGTACACTTTACAAAACACCAGTGCGTACAACTACTTTTCGCCCAAAAATAACGGTATTACCAGTGCGTGATCCACCTAGATCCGGATCATCTAGTAGCCCATAAACGATTGGCGACCACCTCCCTAAGACGAACACTTCCAAAAGTGACCAGCATTTCTAAAGGTATAAATAAACACCTGCACTAAACATTATCTTTCTAAGGTAACCTTTCTAACTTCCAGAGAATACCAAAAATCAACTAGAAACATGAATGGATATCTTAGAAAGATTTTTACTCATAGTAGTTACATTCATTACAATTACGTGTAAAGCTTAAAGAAACTTATAAGCGGCCGAAAGGTTAAGTTGCTGAATACTGGTAGTTAGACCTAGGTTCGATTCCTAGCAAAGGGGCTTTTCGTAGTTTTTCCCACATATAACGTGCCTACGAGCGAGTTTTCCTTAGAAAACCCTCCACAAAAACAACTCTTCTCAGATAGCTTTCGTTCGCTTTGTTATAATTCAAACCAAATTAAACCAAACCAAATTAAAGAAACTTATTCGTTTTACTCTCTAAATTGCGCCCCAAATAAATCATACTTGGGAGCTTTTCGTATTCAGAATCTAATCAGAACCTAATACGTATCAGAACGGAAAATTAAATAAATTTAATTATTTAACTTGGTTATGTAGGATTCCAATTTTTAATTCCCTAGTTTCTAATAGCCCTCCTTCAATAGGGTTTGGCCGTCCTTCAAAATTCAGGGCGGAACTGAGCAAAGTCTTACTATCAACAGTAGAGAGCGCAAGGCTCTTGTCAACGACAGGCGCAATCATGCCACAATGAATTTTGTGGGCTTGCTTTGATGTTACTGTCAGACATGGGAGATAAGTCAACAATGGATTAACAACAACAACAATGGATTAATAATGTCACACTTACTAATTGTTCTGTAAAATAACTAGTTATTTTGTAGATTAACTAAAAATTAATAGTTTGTTAAAGTAAAAAATAAACAATTTGGCTTTAAAACAAATCCTTTGTTTTATAAAACAGCTGATGATAAATCTCTATTTTCTCAAAAAATACATTTCATATTGCGGATAGATTAAATGATAAATAATAAAATAAAACAGAATACATAAAAAGAAAATCTGAAAGATTTCAGATTTTAAATTACGTCCAAAGGGTGTTTTTTTAACATTTTGTGTGTTACCTTTATTAAATATCATGCTTTTCGCACTTAACCCATAAAATTCAATTCAACAGAAATATCTCAAAATAATTTTAAAATGAGCATATCCTTTAGAATTTCCGATACACAGTCTCGCGCGCAGGAGACAAATTGCCCCGCCCCCGTACAGTGTTGCCATTCTTCGCTTTGAAGTCATTAAGTTTGTTAATCAAAAATTCTTTAATGTCTGACAAAATATGAAACAGATAATAAAACAAATTCCAGATTCCAAATTAGAGCTTCCAGATACCCATATTCGGTGGAGGATTACTTTATTCAAAATTTGATGGCTCTATGTATCGTTGTTTTATCACAAGGCGAGGAACATACATACATTTATGCAGATTCTTCATTATTTAATTTCTTTAAATATAATATATGTCGATAATATTTGGTGGCAACAGTTTGAAAAGTGAAACGGAGCGATTCGACCCAAAATCAAAACGAAAACAATAGTCTTACCTTTTGACTAATAATAAATATTGTTGCTATATTAATTAAACAGCAATAAAAAATAACAGACTATACTACACCAATAGTTATATTTATATTTTTACAACTTATAAAAATAATTAGGCTACTCAGTCCTGCTTTCAATAAAGCAGCTTATTCGTGCCATCTTTGCTAATCATCAGGCATTTTCTAATACAATAACCAAGGTATTTAATAATACTTCATAACGATTAGGTCATCATTATTCTATAAAATAACTAGTTATATCGCAGAATCCAATAAATTAATATACTTTAACTGATTCATTACGGTAATTCATGAAATATAGTTATTTTATGAAACAGCGAATTCCAGACCTACATAAGTAAGGGACTAAATCGAGCTGTGAATAAACTGTTACAGTCAGGGACAGATGAAACCGTTTAGTTCCACTGACGGTAATCATTAATACGTTAGCGCAAAAAAGAAAAATTGTTTCCCCGCTGATTCTTTTCTTTCGGAGGACCTACCCTGAAATTGGATCTCTTTCCAGAACGGTACGAAACAAAGTGTGGGAAGTGTGGGAGAAATGAGATCTTCTCAGAGGCATCTTGAAAGAAAACCTTGGTAAGGTGCTACACTTAACACTCCCTCAAGACAGCCAGCTATAACCCTCCTGGTTAAATGTGAATTTGGCTTTTTCCCCAAATCAGATTGGCGATATTATTTGGCGAGATTTTAGAGTCCCTTTTTTTCCGTTCCTTATTTTCCGGGTGACATTTTTTCCGTTCCTTATTTTCCGAGGACATTCTTTCCGTTTCCCTTTTTTCCGGGTGACATTTTTTCCGCACACTCTTTGTATACCACGATACACGATACAGTTCCGAATCCCTGCAAGTGTAAGTAAACACTTTCTCTTTAATCATCATTTGAAATTTCTTTGTACAATGATCAGTTTTAAGATATTTTATACATTGAGACATCCTGTATTTTATTTGAAATTTGTAACTTTTATGATATGCATTTTATAAATTAAGCTTAAAGTATTTACCTAGTTTTGTGGAAGATATCTCTGAAATATTCTTCGGAGGATTTAAATAGATAAAGAAATAAAAATAACTTGTCATTTGAGGTGATTTTGAATTAATTCTTTCTGCAGAAAGTAAAATAATTTCTATTCTTATTTACAGGTGCTTTTCTAATACCTTATCTACTTACACTGTTCTTAGCGGGAATACCTACATTTCTATTAGAAACATCTTTAGGCCAATTTCTAAGCATCGGAGGTCTTGGTGTTTGGAAGATATGCCCACTTTTCAAAGGTAATCTTACGATTTGTGTTAAATTTATGTCAACAAATTTCTTCTTAATATTGCGTTTGTTTTAGATGAATGGTAAATGCATGATTTCTTACCATGATTTCCGAAGTTAACAACTGATTATTACCAAAGACAATCATACTGGATGTTTCTTTTCTCAAAATTTCAGCATTTTCTAAAATACTGTTGTGTTACACGGTTTCAATGCTGTAACCTAAAGGTATTGGGAGTCAAGGCCACTGGTAGCTAAGCTGGTGAAATTCAGGCCATTTGTAAATAAATAAATATATGTACTCATAATAAATAAATATATGTACTCATAGTTCTCTTATCTGTTCTCTTTTAAATAAATGCCGTCAGAATTGTATTTTTATTTAAATACAATATTTTTCTTTGGCAGCAATAAAAAAGAAACCTTGAACTCTTGTTTCTCTTATTCTCAATATTAATAGAAAAAGTAGTCCCGACACTTAAATAAGAAAATACATCTAAAAATATACAAAGGAAGATACGAATGTATTCTCATCCTACTTACTTGTTTTAACTCATTATGTCATTAAACACAGAGTGGCAGGAAAAGATCCCTCATTAACTTAACAGTGCGAGATTCTGACGTCAATGTCGGCCTCTTTTTCCGTCCACTAAAGTCATTTCCAGTTGCTGACAAGGACGTAACTATCCCATGCAGATTATATAGTAATCTTTTCTTTAAAAAAAAAAGCAAATTTTTTAGGTGATTTCTAAAGAAATTTGTCCAAATCCTCAGGCATATAATAGTAATGGGATGTATTTTACTATTGCACTCACGATATAATTTCTCACAATACGAAAACTGAATTTTGATTAATTCCTGGACACATCAAAATGTTTCCTATCTGTTCAAAGATTCGTCAATGTAACAGTTCTTTAGTAGAATTTAATTATTTTAAGAATAAAGAAATCAAATTAAAGGGATTGCTTTTTGATATTCTCTGTGAATCAGTCTTTTAAGCAATGCTGCATATCCATCGTATTGTATATTTCTTTTAGAATATACAAGGCGCAGATGTAACAAACTACTCGCTAGTTTCACAGTAAGCTTCAGTCAAATTTAGGTTATAGAATAAAATGTAAAAAAAAGCTTATGTTTTGTGTGAGTGAAGAAATAGACTTGCGAAAACAAAAAAGTACCATTACCTAAAAAATAAGAATAAAAAATGAAGTAAGATCCTTCAGCAATATAGAAATGAGCAGTAAATAATAAACTCATTGAATTCTTGAAACAAAAAGTAAATTTTCAAGTACTAAAATAATAAATTCTAAAACATTTTGGAAAAATGTATGTTAAAGTTCAAAATATTTTTAAGCAGAATAGGAATAAATAGACAAATTTCAACGCAAGGAAACTCAAAATTCCGTGTAAATTCTTAGAATATGATCCCCGAAAAAGGATACAAATCAGTAGTTTTGCTATAAAACGAATAAAAAGAATACAAAACTAAAATTAATGTCTAGTTTAAGGAAACCTACATATATATATGCTTATGGAATGCAGTCACAAAATGGCACAAAAAGAACAATTTCATGACCAAATCCTTCCGTCAGAGGATTTGAAATTAGACATACTTTTGATCCACTTTCTGCGGTAAATCTATAATTATATTTTGTCATGAGAGAAAAAATTAACCATGCATTTAGAGACCTTCGATGTTGTTTTTATAGAAATGTCGTAACATATTTCTTTAGAGCAGTACAAATTAAATATGTAGTTAGTGGCCTCAGATCTGTTTTGTATAATAAATTTGTGATCATATTATATAATTATGCATTGAACTATGGTCTGCATTTTTCTGCTACGACAATAAGCAATTTTAATCTTATCATCATTATTAATTAATTACTATATAAGGTATTTCTCCCACTTCCCTAGCGTGCCTTCGTGGTGTAACGGTAGCACGCTGGGCCGGTATTGCAGAGGTCCGGTATTCCAGATTCCCGGTGAAGGTGGTTGCATATTTTTCATCGTTTCTGCTTATAATTAACCTAATGTCTCTACAAGTGGCGCCCGAACTAAAAAGGGTTGTGGATGATGACTCTCCGCACTCAGGATTTGGCGACTAGGTCCCCTAAAACCCTGGTCGCCCTTTAAAAAGGGGAGTATATAAGGTATTTCTCCCACTTCCCTAGCGTGCCTTCGTGGTGTAACGGTAGCACGCTGGGCTGGTATTCCAGATGTCCGCGGTTCGATTCCCGGCGAAGGTGGTTGCATATTTTTCATCTTTTCTGCTTCCAATTAACCTAATGACTCTACAACTAATCTCATTGTTTAAACAAATTTTATTAATTAATGTCTCTCCTGCTTGCTGGACTTCTTACTAAATTGTGCAATATGATCATGATTTAAAACAGAAGTCAGCGTCTAGTTGCATGTGCAATTTCTGCTCCAATGATGAAATAAATAGCCATGAAAATTACCTTTTCTAATTTTTCTGCAAATGAAAAATGGCTATTATCCTCTGATTATAAATAGAATTTTGATTTAATTTACAGAACTAAATTTTTTCTACACTTCATTTCACTTAATTATATTGTAGAGACATTAGGTATTTTTGAAGCAGAAGTACGTGAAACATGAGCAAAGCCCTCGACGGAACTCAAAACTGGACCTCTCGAATACGCACCAAATGTGCTACCGTTACACCCCGAAGGCATGCAGAAAAAAGGGAGAAAATACCTTATATACTGTCCCTTTTAAAGGCGACTGGGCATTAGCGGACCCAATCGCCAAATCCTGGTGGTGAAGAAATTATCATCCACCACCTTTTAGTTCGGGCGCCTAGAGTCGTTAAGTTATTTTGAAGCAGGAGACGTGAAAAAGGTGTATTGGTGTGTATTGAGAATACGGCAAAGCACAGAAGGGCTATCTGCCTAACGGGAGGAGTGCCTTCGTGGAGGACTTTCTAAGGAAAACTGGCTCGTATACACGTTACACATGGGGAAAACCACGAAAACACCGATGCAGCCAGCCCGTTCGCGGGATTCGAACCTCGGGACCGAACTACCAGTGTGCAGCGATTTTACCGCTCGGCCGCTGGTGGGCGACGGGAAAAAGGAGCAATGCCCTCGTCGGGACTCGAACCTGGACCTCTCGAGTATGCGCCGAGTGTGCAGAAAAGAGGGAGAAAATAACTTATGACGTATTATATAATAGAACAAAGACGGTCATGTTCTTGCTGTCCTGTTTTAGATTTTTCTGTGAAAGCAGGAGGATTCTTGTGTCTATTTTTGTCAACGTTCGACTTAGGGTTAAAATAGACAAAAAAATTTTGTAAGGAGCTCAAACATCTTCTAGGTTTTTCTGAAAGGAAAAAAAAATCTAACGTTTAACCCTGTTAACATTTGGCTGCGAGTGAAGTAATTACGTATTCTTAGGTTATAAGGTTACACACAGCATGACAGAAAAAAAGTCGCGTAAAACATACTGTCAGTTCTGCGTAAGACTAACTACCTTCAATTTGTACTTAATACATTTATTAGATAAGTAGCAGAATCTGAAATTAATGCGAACTCGTTTTAAAAACCTATTTAATGATTTTCCTTAATTCGATATTCTGCAACATTATACTTTGCATCATACATTCATCATACTACTAGTTTCAACTATATTAATCAGAATAATCCGTTACATATAATTATGTAATGCAGAATAATTTCTGCATTAATATTTCATCAGGGTTTAAGTTTATTGGTTACAGGGAGCGTAATGGAAAAGACGTTTAATACCATACACATATAACTGGTCCAATTCACTTGAAACTCGTCTTTAAATATAACTGATTTAATAAAATTCTAAATTTCGACAGAGAGAGGTGTTAATTAAATGACTGGGAATATGCATCTGAATGTACCTTTAGCTTAGACGTGAGTGATCAAAATTTAGAGTTATCATGTTAACATCTAATTTGCTGATTAAAAATCGACTAAGATTTAATTGAAAGGTAATTTATAAAAAATGTAGTATCGTGAAAAGGTCATGAAACATTCAGCTTTTGAATTGCATGAGAGATTTCAGACTGGTAAGAACATGAGGAATGTCATCTCAGAATTAGAGAGCCGAAAAACAATAATGATAGTCGTAATTATTAACAGAATTTGATATAAGTTACGATCTGACAAACGATTAAGTGTAAGAATGATAGATGTAGTCTCTCGAGCAATTAGTCAAAAAAATATTAATCTAATTTTAACTGAAAAATTGAGAAATAATTTTCTGCGAAATCTGTGTCTCTCACACGCTAAACACGATTACCCAATTAGATCATCCTGACTATTTAACTGACTTAATTCTATGTGATTTCTAGTTATTTCTAAAAAATGGATTCCCTAAAGGAAATTGCATCATATACAGATATTTTCCAAAGGGAATTGCATCATATACAGAAATGCACTTAAGCCAAAGCGCATCAAAAGTACGGAAATCTAAACCGGAACTTGTCGCTTGATGAGCTAGACACTTTTATTGCTCTATTATATGCTTGTGGTGCTTTGGTTGCCAAAGAACTTTATATTTTGAATTTATGATAAAAATCCTAGTCCGAAAATTCTTTAATGAAGCAATTCCATGGGACGGATTCTTGGAAATAATGGATAATTTGATCTTTCACTTGAAGACAACTAGATTGCAAAGATACTGTGCATTTTCTCTTGCTTCAGAGATATGGTATACATTTGTTGAGAATTGTTTATTGTGTTATAAAGCAGAGGAAAATTTACAGTTGACGAATAATTGTTCCCACAAAGGTAATGTGCCATTATATTCAGTCTATGCCGAAACCCCCGATAAATTTGGTATGGAATTTGGCTTTTCGCAGATGCAAATGTAAAATACTTTCTAAATGTATATGCTTATTTGGGAAAAGAAGAAAACAAACCAGTTGAAAAAATTCTTAGGAAGTCTGCCGTTTATTGGTTGATTAAGCCTTTTTTAACACCGAAAGAAATGTTTTTACTGAAAATTTCTTTACTTCCTTGAATTAATTAAAAAGTTAAGAAATAAAGGATTTAGTTATGTTAACACAATTGTGCAAAAACAAATTGCGTAGGATATAACATTAATATTAATGGTTTATGTTGTAAAAAGAAAATTGCTGCCATACAATTATGGAAAAAAGTAATGTAAGAGTAGTTTTTGAAGAAATTTAACCATGTAAGCAAAATAAATTTAATAAACTAAATTATAACATGTTTCATTAAAAAAACTTCAACATACCAGATTTTTTTTCGTCCGTCTTGTTGCAGTCAGGTAAACGGAAAATGGCGCAATGCTAGTGTTAATTCCAGGACTGAATTTTTTCTTTAAATTCAGTTTCATTGAGAACCGGTATAATATTTTTTTGTAGATGTAGAAGCATCTCATGAGAACGTCAGCGCAGTTTTCTTAATATGCCCCCAATCAGTGTCAAGAAACATGATAGCATGTAAGCAGTACGAGGTAACACCTCATAGTATGAAATAGTAAATATAATTAAGCAATGAATTTGGGCTTGGATTTGTTTTAAGCTGAAACAGTCGGCCACTTTAACTTATGAAATACTGAAGATAGCATTCCGTGAGAATGCAGTGAGCCATATGATGACCTTCAAGCGATGTTTGAGCTTCAGAAAGTCCAATGTCTGTTGTTAAATATTTAACAGATATCTGTTTATTTTACTTTACGACGCACGATTTTCTTTACGCTACTAATTTATCAACACTTAAATAAATAAATAATTTTAAATCCGAGAGAAAAATTTCGGAAAATGCATAACGCTATATTCTGAGACCTAAAATTGTTACATGATTTCTGTACACTCGCTGTAATGTATTAATGCTGGAAACATTACTTAATAAATTACAAAATTACATTTGAGATCTCCATCTCAAACTGATATGTATATGTTAAGGGAAAAAATTGGTTTCCCTTAGCATATACCAGTTTGATATGTATACGTTAAGGGATATGATATAAATATCCGCTCGTTTAAATTAAACGTTAAAATAAGAAATGAATAAAACTCTTTTGTTTCAGCATCCAGTTTTCCTTTTAAGCAGTTTTCATGATAAAAGTAATCAAACTTCATTCTTTTATAGGTGTAGGTTATGCAGCAGCTGTGATGGCATTTTGGTTAAACACATACTACATTGTAGTGCTTTCATGGGCTCTCTATTATATATTCAACTCTTTGCGGTGGGACGTTTTGTGGAGGACATGTGACAATTGGTGGAATACCCCTCTCTGCCACTCTGAATATGACACTGTTGTCAACTGTACTAAAGATGTTTGTCCATCGGCTGTTATACCAAAGAATTACACAAGCCCCGTAAAAGAATACTGGGAGTATGTATTATCTGATTATTTTAATTCTGATTTGTTTAGATTAAAATTCTGCAAAGTTTTAATTTTATCGAAATAGGGTAATAACTAATTGTATTAATTTTGAACGGCGAATATACGAAAGAGCTCATCAAGGTTAACCTTTTTATCTATAAAACTACTTAAAGCCTCAATATAACTAAGAATGTTGTGGATTTATAAATGGTACTACAAAACATATATATTTATGAAACCATTATTAAAAGCCATTTATAGTAATACTCGCGTAAGTGTTCTATAAAATATGCTTGATCTAGCGAAACTGAAACACTTGCATCTGGAGTGTAATATATTGTTATATATACAAAAAGAAATAACCAGTAGACGTCTTCTAAACGTTAAAGGTATTTTTAGTTATTTTTCTTGCAAAGAGTGGCTATTTTTTTCTGATACTAAAAAGAAAATGGAATCCAACTCCGTCTTGTGCACATCCCAGACAGGTTCAATGGTACTGATATCTGATGATTGTGCAGGACATGAAAGATTCTCAATCTAGATTCCATGGTTTTCAAATCACTTTTTATCACCAGTTTTGCAGCTGGAATTGCTACACTGGCACTTCCTTCCGGCTTCAGTGTCTAAACAAATATTTGTCTAGAATACATCAATAGTTCTTCATAGTGATATGACCTTAGAATCCAATCAGTGTTCCGTAAGATTTCTTCGATACTGCTGTCCCAGCCGTCTCCAATCCACCTTCGCGCTTCATTCAGGACATGGGATAATACAATCATACGCGTCTCTACACGCAGGCCGTCCGAGAAGTTAGAAACGCAATGAAAATGGCTTCATGGCTGAGCAACACACATTCTGCATTGTCTACTTTTCATGTTTTACGCTTCTGTCACCCATGAAACTAGACTTTAGCATGCTTAATAGTTATCAAAAGCTTTGCTTTAGCTGCCCACCATGAGCCTAAATCCTTCAAATCTCCCGAAATATGTGAATATATATGTGAGTTCGGGAGAATTTTATGTTTCCCAAAATTTGTGGAATCGCTCTTCCATATTTGTAGCACAATTATTTTTATTTCGCTAATACTCTTTTCAGATAAAATCGTTTTGTTAGCTCATTTATTTCAAATGATTTATTTCTAAACCTTCGCTTTTCTAGTAGACAAATATTGACAAGGGACATCCTGACCTTCAACGCATCTAAAAGACTTAGCAAATACGCCAGTTTGGTAGCTACGCCGATTAGCGTAGCACTAAGAATTTGTTTCCTTTGAAATCCCATATATCTCTCATCTGTGTCTCATGATTTTGAATGTCGGAATTCAGTACCTCTAATACCGCTGAAAATTTCAACTTCACATTCTACTACTGCTGATAAATTTCGAAATAAATCCAGGTTTTTCCGGAATGGAAATTTGAGTGCAAGCTTGAATTTTGCGAGCCATATCCTCCAAGAGTTTCAGTTTCATTGTCCAATATCTCTGCTGTATAATTTAATAGAATTATAATAAATTAATCATTATATATTTCTTACATGCAAGCGCAAAGGAACGCTATAGTATCATCCAAATTATTCTTCTTTGACATTTTAAGCCATATTCAAATAATAACAGTTTTTATTTTATTTTAAATTTTTATCTAATTTGAATCAAATATTTTGAAATAAAATGAAATAATATTTTTTAAATCTTTAAAACTTTTTCTTATAAATAAATGTTACGCAATCTCAGAGACATTTTGTGAGGCATTTGTTGAACAATTTTAGTGTAGGCGTCTAGTCTAGCCTGCTTCTAATTGAACTCTAGGTAGCCTAAATTGACACTAAGTGAGATAACATAGCAGTAAACTAAATCAAAATAGGCTCGCTCAAGGCTGTGTGTGTGCTTTGACCTTTAAATTCTTGAGCGTATAATACTCAACAGAAGAAAGTGTTTGGAGTAGCATAATTAATTTTAGTTTGCATTCTCGTTCACTTTACAACGGATCAGGTGATAGCATAATTTTGCCTGACAAACTGAAACAGTAGTTTTAAAAATATGTAGATTTTAATCTAATTAGCATTCACTACAAATAGAAAGACTCTCTACATTTATCTGGAAAATTTCACAACATTGAAAACTTTCATTTGAAAGTAATGACAAAATAAGCTGAATCTGCTCCATTGTTAAAATTTAGTTAGTGAATTTCTAGTTAGTTCCTTGTTTCGAGGCATTTTATATAATTTTTAAACCAAGATCATTCATCCCTTCTGATTGGTTTCTAGACTCGAAACATAAAGTAGAAACAAGTTCTCCATCGTTTTAAACTATTACAATTAGAAGTTTGCTGTTCAAATTAGTTTCAGAGTTAATGAGTTTCCAAGCAAATTTCGTAATGTGTTTTGCTTTCGTAGGTGTGATTTCAGTTTTATATGAAAAGGTAACAAAACCCCGTTAATTAATTGAGCGTTTTTGCCTAAACCAACAAAAAAAAATTCAGACACCTATCTGAAGAACTCGGAATCTACTTTCTGTCCCATTTTTAAGATAAAAATTTCTTGTGAATTACTCCATGCCGATGAAACTAATCCTCAATGAATATTTACTCGAAGCATCTAAAAACGAAGGTTTTAGGATTAATTATCTCTTATCCTTGCTGATAGTTGCGGTTTGTCTTCGGGTTGTGAATAAAATACCATTGTTTATCACTAGTAATGATCTGCTTAAAAATTTTGAAATTGTTAGCTGCCATTTCAATCAAATCCTTATTGCTTTTCATTTTTTAGTCTAAAATTTAATCACAGGTGAGAACAATGTACATTCAAAATAATTTCTATTTAGAAATTTATTCCATAAACAGACGACATTTCGAAGAAAGAAAAAAAGTTGAGAAAAAGTTAATAATCACTCCCATTAGTTCAGGCAGTTTTTCTCGCATATAATCTGGCAGTCTCTTGGGACTGACTCAAACATTGTGTCTTAAAAATTTTAGACATACTATGTATTACTCAAATTTAATTTCTTTTGAAATGTAGCTTAAAAAATGGCGAAAGTCCTTGGAATAAAACTTGTTTTGATTTCCAAGCAAGTGTTAATTATCTTAAAGTGTGTAAAACTACATAATTGACTAGAAATGATAAAACCGTGATCAAAATTCGTTGCATTTGAAACATTTCTGGCAGTGAAAAAAAGGCTAGAGTTACTCTGTCTTACAGCGTACAGGTTTCTCTAAAGGAAAGTTATTTTGTCTCTTAAATTATTATTGATTTAACAAAGAAGCAATAACTGTCATCAGAAAACATAACCTATTTTTTTTAACTAGATGCGTGATTTTCTTTTTCTATTTTGCGCTAAATTTTGGTTGAACTGTTCTACATAAGACAACTTAGGCTGTAGATTACAACTATATTTTAATTTTATTGTACTTATGTATTATGGGAACTTTTATGTATAAAAATGTTAACTTAAGAAGTGACAAAATCGTATATAAATTCATTTCTTCCTGTCCTTCGAAAGGAATGTGCAATGACATCTTGCTTTTCAGACGAAATGTTCTGCAGATCACTCCTGGGCTTGGAGAACCTGGAGAAGTGCGCTGGCCTCTCGCTGGAACTCTAGCTTTAGCCTGGGTCCTTTGTTACTTTTGTATATGGAAAGGAGTCAAATGGACTGGAAAGGTAAATGCTTAACATTTCAAATCTCGTCTCGTATCTAATTTTTTTAGATGAATGAAGTAATTAGCTGCGAAAAATAAAACAAATAAATAACAAAAATGCAACTAAGTCAAATTTATTTTTAACAAACTCTGCAATAAAATAAAATGAGCAGTAAATGAGCAGAAATAGAAAAATAGGTTTCTTTAAGTGTGGTTTAGTACAACTATTTTGTAAAGGGAGCAAGCATCTTATTAGTTTACAACATTACAAGCTCTTACGTCAACAATCAAGTCATGAGACGTATGAAAACCACCATTAAAAATGTTGCTTATTGACTTGATTATAGAGGCTATATCTGAGGTTACAGAGAACTTTTATACTTGAGTGAATTAATAAAATTTGAACTTTTACTACTGTCTGAATTGTTCTGTCAGGTGATCACGAAATTAATTATCAGTAAATTTATGGGTGAAAGCTGAATGATAAAATACCATAATAAAATGTGTTTATTTTATATTAATCATGACTACATAAAACTGAATGAGTCTTTTAAAACAATATGAGCTACCCTGATCTGTTAAGTGGTAAGCGTTGCTGGCAGTAACGTCTTTGGGTCCGAATTTAAATCCCGGAGATAACTTTGATGCTTGTAGATATATAGTGTCCTTGTGGCATGGAGACACTTAAAGTGCATGGCGAGCCGAAAGTCCTTTCGAATGTTTCAGTAGCAGGAAATGGGAGATCTTTGGATCCATTCGCCAGGTATTCTCCTTCAAAAGAAGGACGAAACTCAGCTCATGTCAGCGACAGACTCAATTCTGCATTCTTTTCCTCACTAAATTTCAGAAATTTGACCTGTTGCTACAGTCAGACAAGTGAAATATATCACAACAACTTATTTTTTATCGCGCATTTTATAAATTAAATCACAACTGATGTTTTAAAAAGCTCCCTAAATGCCTTTTCTGGCACCTCTGGAGGAACTCGTAATACGTGAATCTTCATATAAAAGGAAATGTTTAAATTTCGATCATGTAAATAAAAATATGTCTCCTTATTTTTTATTTTATTTATTTTAAATACATCTGTCAGTTTAATTTTCACTGTAAAGCGGCAAATCCCGTAAACTGATAGTTCTTTGATGCACGCAATTTTTTTCCTCATAATAAATGAATATTTTCCTTTGCACTTGTTCTAAAGAATTTGTTCTTAGAATTGTGCATTATTAGTAGGTTTATCCAGCCTCATAAAGTTTTTATCAAACTTGCAGTATCACCTAAAGAATTACTATAGTGATGCATGTATTTCTGTTTGTGAGGATTTTGTTTCATTCATGTCTGGTGTCATATCCTGCTTCTTGGGCGTGTAGGTTCTGGATATATATTTAATTTCTACCGTAGACGTATCGTAATGTGGGTATTGCATAAAGCCAAGCATTTAACGGCACAAAGACTTTTATTAACACACGAACAAAATAATAAGAACAAAACGATTAACACAAAAGTATAACTGCGTATTTTCATCCACGCTGGCATACAGCATGTTACCTTCGTTACTTCGCTATTAACTACTAACTAACTACTCTTCTCTAGTAAGTCACATGAGAGAGAGAGAGGGGTTGCAGGCCGTTCGGCTAAACTGCGCATGCGTGCTCATCACGTCATGACATCTGGGAAACTTGGGACGAAAGGATGAGTACACTATTTATATGCAGAAGAAGACATTATAAGTATGGGTTCATTGAATCGAAGGAAAAGTGAAAAGAAGGCAGAGTGTAGATTAATATTGCTTGTACATGAATCTCCCCGCCCCCTTGTGGCCTTAGAAATATTTAATTCGGCTTTCAGTTGACGTGAAAGGCCTGATATACTGTTGATAAATCTGTTTAGCCTTTCCTATCATAGAGAATTTCCTTCATGAATAGAGATTGTTCTCAGTTGAATAATCCGTGTCAGAAAGTGTGGCGTTATAATTTAGGAGCAAGGAAGTGAGTTGCACATTCAGTGGGTTTAATTCCGGTGAGAGAGTTGGAATCTTGGACCAAATTCATTCCTAATTTACCTGAGATTCTAATACACATGAGCGTTTTTGAGGAATATAGCTCGACAAACCTCAGATATTACGAGTGCCAAACAGAAACAGAACTATGTTAGTTTCAACTACATCAGCTTAGAGAAAGAGTTCTTGATCTCCAAAATGATCCCTTTCGACATATGAAATAATGCCTCCTTTGAGTCTCACCAAATATACACTCCCATTAATGTGAAGTATAAAACTACCATATTTTACTGGGGTATATGTTATGTAATTGTAACGGAATACATACATAGATTGCCTTTCACGCAATCTGATCTCAAGCAGCTGTGAGTGAAAGGCTTTGCATACGGTGATCACGGTGGTTATATACGAGTTCAAAATGATTTATTAATAACTCATTTTCAAAAATTGTATTGTGGGTTAACAAATTGTTGAAATCCTACTTAGTTTTTTAGCAATTCTCCAAAATCTTTGCTCGAAGCAAACTCCGAGTGAATGTCATCGTCCTCAATTTCATCACTGGCATTGCTGTCATCCGCCTTGAAGATAATATCATCTAGTTCTCCATTCATAGCATTGTCCAACAAAAGTGATAACTTTTGATTTTAATTTAGTAGTCCGCAGAAGTGCAGAGTCCGCAGAAGTGCAGAGTTTTATTCGTAAAATCGAGAGCGCAATCTAAAGGAAAAAAAATTTCGCGATTGCTTGAAAATGTTTACCACAACAAACAACCAAAGTCAAATTTGATATGCTGTTACCAAAGCGCCAAATGATACATATGCCTTAAATTTGAAAACATAAAGGTGGAGAAAATCTGGGATTTTCTCCACCTTTATGTTTAAATCGTCTTTATGTCTTATGAATTAAAACCCTTTCATTTTACAATATTGTCAACCTTATTTTTCAAATGAAAGGTGAAAGCGAACTGGCACTCATTTTCAGCTAGTCTGGTAATTTGTTAATTTAGATGACAAATTTTTAGCTTTAGAAGTACATAACTGAATTTATAAAGAAAATTTAAATTCCCTTTACATACAGGTTTTACAGTTTGAACTGAGTTTTTGCCACAAAACCTTACCTTTCAGCTTAGATCGGATTTCAAAATAGTAAAAAATAGTGTCACTTTGTAACAAAAGCTTAATTTTGAAGGAAACTTATTTATGAAATAATATTACTTATTGCTTATAATGTGTTGATTAATATTTCAATTAAAAGGACAGCCAAAATGTTCACTTCTCCTTCCTTTTTTGCCTCTATATTTTAGTAGGTGCTTCATTTCTGATTACTTAAAAACTTTGAAGAAAACCTCTTACGAAGTGTTTGTTGTTTCCAGCAAGCGGGTTTGACGTTCTCGCAAAACAAAAAAGCGAGATGAAACATTTTCGTTTCTTAGGTGAAACATTTATTGCAAGCCTCACGCCCAAGCGATTCAGCGAAATAAATGCATAGCTACATCTCGAATAATTAACATTTTTTTCACTACATACGAGTGTAAGTTGCAATATCACGTTAATTTATGATGAAGTAATATCGTAACAACCTAATAAAATAAAAAGTATTGTCATTCGAGAGAAACATGTATTTCAATCTTTCCTTTTAAATAAATTCACAGCGATATGTGTTGAAAATTAAAATTTTTCTTTATCAGATAAGCATGTAACTCTTCCCGTAACGATAATTTATGATGAAAGCATAGCATAGCAGTTCATAGAATCATAGCAATTCCCGTCGCCCCATTATTTCGCATTGCTGTTTTTAATATCTTGCATTAAACGCGTGATTTTAAGCTCCTTTCTGTGAGGATTAGTTATGAAACTACAAAGCTAATCCTAAGTGTTTAGCTGAAATTTTTTTTTAACTTTAAAGCGAGATCAGCACGCGAATGACAATGTTAAACATTAATACATAAAATATCAGTCGGTTGATTTGTACGCATGTTTGCTTTGATATGCTGTTGCTGTATGTGTTATTCCTGCCGGTATTAATATTCGTAGGTTGTTTACTTCACGGCGTTATTCCCATATGTTCTGCTCTTCATTTTGCTCATTAGAGGAGTAACTCTGCCAGGTGCTGGAGATGGAATCCGATTTTATATTTGGCCAAACATGAATAAACTTGCAGATTCTCAGGTAATGTATATTTTACATTTTAGTGTAATTCATAGTTAACCTAACTTTGTCTGTCTTAAAAATCTCCATTATAGGAAAAAGGCTGTGGTCTCACAGTGATATGAAAATAATGTATTATATTAATATATTTTCGAAAGCCCAGAACTGATTCAGAAATAATAATTTCTTAGAGAATTTTTAGATTCGCCATTTTTGGGGGCCAACTGATAATCCTGTCGTAACTGAATATTTTATTGGCATCAGGCTCTCGCAATTGCTTAAAACCTGTAAACTTTCTTACTTCATTCGAGAATATTTTTAGTTTTGAAGACAAAGATCTGACTAGCGTTTATGTGCTTTGAAAATAATACGTGCCGTGTCTCACAAAAGTCAGCGAACGCTTTTAGTTTCCGAAAACGATGCGAAAATTTCATAAAGCAAGTACATAAAGTGAAAAATTCATAAATTAAGTTTTTTGCTTGCAGTTTACGTTTACTTAATTTTCTTTCTATAATAAACATTTTTAAATAAATAATTGAGTTTAAAATTAGTATCTTCTGTTTTAAGAAGGAAAGACTTATCAAAAGGTCTTCGAACAATACTGAGACTGCAAATAAAATTATCTACAATATATACAGTATGTAAGTTCATTACATTATTTTGAATCAAACAAAGGGCTACATTTAAAGGATCTTTTCCTTGAGTTTTTAAAGCAATATTCTTATAATTCGTGTTATTTTAATATTTTGTACCCATATTTCGAAAAAAAGACCAATAACTTTAGAAATCACCAGATAATTCTTTATTTGCATCGAAAAGAAAGATATATATTGGAAAAGCTGCTGAAATAGTTCATTTAATTATTTAATACACTGTTTATCATTAATTAAGGAAAAATCACAAAAATGACGTTTACTCAAAAGGTTACACGCAGAATTTAATGAAAGTAACCCACAGTATAGCCATAGTAATGTATAAAATAACATGAAAAGAAATAACATGAAAAGAAATTACCAGATAATTATGGGGTTATAGAAATTAGCATATGTATAAAAGGAACAAAATGGATGTGTCAGTTTATTGTAGGAAAATTACCTTCATTATGGTCTATGATCTTCCCTAGAAGCAACACAACACATACAGAGAAATGTGATGCTGTCAGTTATGCAGTCTATCACTTCCGTAGGAAATGAGGGCCAGTGCTTTTGCAAAGCAGTTGCAAGTGTGACAAGGTCTGAAGAGGAGGAATGAGGAAAGCTATACGTCTTCCTAAAGCATCCTAAACATGCTCGATAGGATTCAGGTCCAGTGATCGAGCTGGCCACTTCATGCGTTAAATTGTTTGCTGCTGAAGATAATCATCCACGATACGGTCTAGCGCTGTCGCCTTGTAGCAGCAAATTATCACCTATTTCTCTGGCATAAGGATAAGGATGTCATCTATGCAGGCCTGACCATTGATGGCTCCACGTGGAAAGACATGGAGTGCGTCCACTCAAAGAGCCCAAAAACAGACACTGCCTCCTCCGTATGCATCTCTTTCACGATGTTTGATTGATGATAATGGGTTCCAGGTTCTCTTCAAACCAAATAACTTGTACTAATATGCTAGTACAAGTTATTCAAAGACTATTATAAGGCAGTAATTCAAACAGTCGGGTACATCATATTTCACGCAATATTCATGGCGTGTGAATCAAAGTCAAGCCAATGATTTTAAACCTGCATTAAAACTTCATACGCAAAAAACGGAAAACGAGGGAAATCAACTATACCCTAAGCGGGATTCAGACATCTCCGGATTGCTAGCTGGACGTGCTTCCAAGTACACAACGAAGCCACATGCTAAGAAGGGAGAGCATACCGTACAAACATATCATGGGTCCATCAAGACACTAAGTGTCGGACACGTCATACTTCGTGCGATATTCATGGCGTACAAGTCAAGTCGATGCTTTCAAAAATGCAGCAAAACTTCATGCGTAATAGGGAATACCTGTTCAGTCAAAATATGCTAAAAAGAAAAGTAAAGTAAACATATCTGCTGAATATAATAAATAGCTTGGGGAGGGGATTCAGTGTCTGCGGAAAGAATTGTAGTTATTGCAGAAGAAATACATTTGAAATAATACACTCATAAATTTATACTTCTATCTACATAATATGTATTTCACTCAATGTAATACAATAAAATAAGAGCTAATTCATTATGTAATTTGAACACCTCATATTTAGTAATGAATCATGTTTTAAACCATTCATTATATAATTAAGATACAATAACACGCCGAACAAATATTAATTTAGAAGTCAAAGAACGTTTCACCCAACATTATTAATCAAGCAGTTAAAAAATTCTCATCTCAACACACCAAAAGGCACACTCTTGTTTTAGGAGATTATAAAAATTCTGTTGTCATTCCCTTCTTTCCATCAATTAGCTATAAAGTTGCACGTATTTTGCAGAAATTTAACTTTCGAGTCGTTTATTCTCCCATCAATAAAGTTCCATAGTCAAGGACCCCCATTCCGGATATGAATTCCTGGGGTATTTACTATTTAGAGGATTCCTTGCCAGTGTGATTTAATTTACATTGGCCAAACTAAGACAGCCTTAAAATTTCGCGTTAAGGAACATGAGGCACATGTTAGAAAAAAGGAAACGCAGAAGTCTTCTGTTGCCCAACTTTGTTGGTCCGAAAATCACACTTTCAATTTTTCTGCTGCCAAAATTATTTAAAAAACATCTTCCATTGGTGAACTGGATTTTCTAGAGGCATTTCACATTGTTAAAAATCTTTCTGTTCTAGTTAACGACCCTAATTCCAATCCATCTTTGCCTTCAGCCTTTAAAGAAATTATGTTTTATTTCTGGTTTCATCAACAGATGGCGCCAGTGGCTGGTATCCTGTCAAGGCTTTCTTATCATATCTAATCATTATATCGTATGTCGTTCATTTGCGCTTTTGCAGCTGAGGGTGATGGTTCGGTAAAACCATCGAAACTAGTCCTGTGAAAATTTGAAAATATAACGTTGTTTGACTTCTAAATTAACATTCATTATATATTAGCATGAAAACGATTAGTAAGTCGTTACATATTAGCATATTCAAGAATAAAGGCTTAAAAAAAGCCTTCATGTGGTTTTTAATGATTATTTATACCTCATCTCGCCTGAAGTAAAATTTCCTTTACTAAATATTAAATTCATTGGTTATAAAAATGTTATCTTTTGCTTTCATAGGTTTGGATCGATGCAGCTACCCAAATTTTCTTTTCGTATGGTCTGGGTCTAGGCTCACTTATTGCTTTGGGGAGCTACAATAAGTACAGCAACAATGTTTACAGGTATGTTTAGCTATATTCATAATAAAAATTATTTAATAACAAAGGACACCATCTTAATGGATAAGAATGACATGCCAAGTAAAACTGAGTATAAGAGCAAAACACTGGTTGGCGTTGATTTTATTTTTGCAAAAGCGCTCTTAGCGATTCGATGCAATCACCTTTTTTAGCTACACCTAAATTAAAAGCAAGTATCACCTACAAAAAGAAAACAGAAAAAGATCTCTGTTACAAAAAGAGAAACATCCTGGAAAGAGAGATCTCTATTACAGAAAAGAGAGACTTCTTTTTGCGGTACTTATATTGCATTTAATTACAGCTGATGAAGGTACTGAGAGGTACTGAGGTACTGAGAACGCTTATCCTAAAGTAAAACCTGCGTCAATCAACGTTGCTTATCTTACACTCTTAAAGTGTGAATGTTAGCAGAATTTAAACAATATTTATGAAGTTGCTTCGTTTTAATAATTCATTATACTATGATAATATCTCCTTAAATTCTTAAATATTCAATAAATGAATTAACATTCAAAATGATAGCAAACATTGCTGCGGTTTCAATTTCTGCTACATTTCAATTTCTACTTCGGACCATGCTTTTACATCACTCATTAAAATTAAACTAGTATGCAGAGAACATTAACTAGAATGCAGAGCACAGTACAAAAATGTCTTGTTCTCACTTGATTTAACAAATAATACTTTATATTGTATGTTAAGACTTTCTCAGTCACATTCACTGAGAAGTCTTAGAAAGAGTGTACAGGAACAGACTATAATGCAGTACATGGAAATATGGAATTCTCTATTAAAAACTTTTAAAATTTTACTAAGATTTTAAATGCCATCTTTCTTTATAATTTCAGTTAAGGGCAGCTAAGTATAGAAATGACTGGTTTTAATGCCGAACTAGTATTTTGATTCGGTCGTTAATTCATAAAAGACTCGCCTGGTTATATCACATTCTACATTCAAGTCAGGAATTATCGAAGGCCCACAAGCGGCCGAGCGGTAAAGACGCTGAACACTGGTAGTTCGGTCCGAGGTTCGAATCCCGCGAACGGACTGGCTGCATGGGAGCTTTCATGGTTTCCCCATGTGTAACGTGTATACGAGCCAGTTTCCCTTAGAAAAACCTCCACGAAGGCATCCCTCCCTTTAGGCTTTGCCAAAATTTGCCATCCCTCGTGTGCTTTGCCATAATTTAATAATCCAATTCAATCCAGGATTTAGCAGAAAACGTTTTTCCATTGCTTACGCAAGAAACACAAAGTTTGGATCATTTTCTTGTTCCGTTATTTCACTATCATTATTAAATATGATCTCATACCATCTTTGTGGTTATCTAATGAATTCCTCTCCACTAGAAGGTTTTTGTTTTTAATCAAAACATCCTTCTAATGCGCATTTAATATTTTCATTTTATTAACGAAATTTTTACGTTGATAACGATCTAGAGAGCTTTGGAAAAGGAATTAATCAGTGAGGACGTGGTCTGGAATATTAAATAATAACTAAATAACATAATTAACTGAAATATTAATTTCAATCAAAAGTAATGTTGACTATCAGCTTGATAATGTAGTAGTGACATGGAGATACTTCCCGAGGCCAGGGAGCTGTTTAATTCGAGAAGTAGAATTCAAATTGAAACCTACAATATGCATCTTATTTGTAATTATGCTTTGCGTTCACTTATGGAAAATCTGAACGTCTATGCAAGTACATATTTTGTGAAAATAATCGGATTGAAGTGCGTTCTTTATTATTTTTAGGGACTCGTTGATTGTTTCTTGCATCAACAGTGGAACATCTATGTTTGCTGGATTCGTTATATTCTCTGTAGTTGGATTCATGGCGCATGAGCAAAATAAACCTGTTAGTCAAGTCGCCGCATCAGGTGAGCTAGCAAAACATTATTTTTTCCCTTAGAAAACATTAAAATTTCACCTCTCTGAAGGATAAAAAAATCACGTGAAACATAAAACTGAATTTTTAAATTTGTTTGCTTTCATCACTTTACAGCAGATTTCAGTGTCGTTGTTGCATGGTAAGTGTAGCATAAATTTTTTATATCAACCAAAATTTTCGCTTTCAGGAACTCAGAAATGTTAGATTCAGTTTCCTTAGAATTATTAAACAGCATTTCCATATTCACAGTATTTCCATATCAAAAACTGAAAATACTCTCTTCTGTTTACTTTGTTTCTAACAAATAAATTTACCTAACATTTATTCCTAATTCGTGCAAAAATTAAATGAACCTTTTCTAAGATTCACATTTTTCGTCACTTTCATGCTATTTTAGAGAACGTGCACAAATTGTCAGAGCAATGCTTTCACTAATTATTGACTTTAATACTAACCTATAAAAATCCATACCCGTATAGAACATTCTCTTCCTGCCAGATTTTCCCAGATATCATTTGATAAAACTATCTCCCACTTTTTTTTAAAAAAATCTTTCCCGCCACTGTCAAATCATTCAAGGTTTTCTGCATTTTCTGCAACGTATCTAGTTTCATAGATTACTATTTAAATCAAATCTCTTATAAGGTATTTTCTCCCTTTCTGCATGCTTTCGTGGTGTAACGGTGGTCCAGGTTCAAGTCCCGGCGAGGGCATTGCACATTTTTCACATCTCCTACTCCAAAAAACTAATGACTCTACACTCTTAATTCTATCCCTAATTGCAATATTTGTGAGGGCGGGCGTTTCTTTTTTGAGTCTTCATACCCAAACTGAGAGATAAAACTATTTTGTTTTCTTAGTTATATCTTGAAAAGAATGTAACAACTGCGCAAAATTTCTGGTACCTGTGTCAAATTTAATGCTAATGTATGGCAATTTTATCAGTTTATGTACGAAAGTTTTCTCTCACTAGTATAGATATCCTTTGTAGTCAGTGATTTATAAAAAACATTAGCATGATAGATATAAATATAGAAAACTACTTATTTTTGAATATGACACAAGAGTTCTGATGTGCCAGTTTCAATGTTCTTCACAGAAATTATTAAATTTGAATTACAAATACAATTCGACGATTTATCTGATATACTATGCAAAAATCTCTTCCAATAGCACATTTTTAGGTCTATTAATTTTGTGCACCAAAAGAAACCTAATATATTAAGCAGAGAACTCTGGTGTTCTGAAATGTGCATTAAAAACAAATATATCAGTAGAAAACTTAAGGAGAAAACCTAGGGATATTAAGTAGCAAAGAAGTAGATAGCATTTAATGTTTTCTTAAATAAAATACGCAATAATATAAGGCACATAATTATCTGCAGCCACAAAAAATCCTAAAGCAGGTTTTTCTCAATAGGCAGCCTGCAGAGATTACTGCGTCCTATTAAAAATGTTCGAAATCTTGAGATCTATCAAATTAATTCTAAGATCTTTCAAATTAGCCCACTTTTCTGAAGGTAACACAAATACTAGTTATTTTAAATATAATATGGACACAAAGCGCTAAGATCTTGCATTTTCTACGTTTCTCTCTTTCGTTGAATATTTTACCTCAATGTAAGTGGAAACGTTTTGTGCGTTGAAGCTCAAAAGAGGCTTATTATTATTTAGATGTCCAACGAAATAGATTTACACACACGCACGCTACATTTAAATAACACTAGCGCATTACTTTATACCTTCATTCGTAGACATGTGTTAATCGCTGTAGAGATTGAAACTTCTTATAAAACAATAACACACTCCTTCTGAGAAAATAAGCAAAAAAGGCAAAACACGGAATAAAGCAAAAACTATTCAATGGGTATGCCTGGAACTGATCTAAGAGGTTGGCGTGCCCTTACTAGACTGCACAGCAAACAATAGAGCAAACACAGGTATAACAATATACAAAAACACAGGTATAACGACCCTCACATTGCGAAAGACCAAATGACTCGAAAGAAAGTGCAATGGAAACATAACGGGTACGATACCCTCTATCTGAAATGCATACTTAACAATGGCGAGGCAAGCTGGAAATAGTGCCATTGATCGTGGCAGTAGTGCCCAGTCATGTAGTAATGCATGTCGGAGTTAATGGACATTGCTTAACGGCCCACTGCTACCTGCTATCTGTCGTCCCAACATGTCTTACACATGCTCTGTGGGATTCAGATCCAGTGATTTAGTAGGCCACGGCAGATGTGAAATGGTTTCTTTCTCTAGATAACTCCGCACCACTCGAGCTCTATGCAGACGGGCGTTATCGTACAGAAATATCGCGTCGGTACCCAACTCAGAGTACCATATAAAAGGGCACATAAAAAAATGCAGAATTTCGTTGAGATATTGGGGCGACTGTAACAGAACCACCAGAATCACGTAGAAGTCGGTGTGGCCGTTCGTTTTCTTTCTTGCTTTCCACCGACAGCGAGGCAGCCGATCCACTGGGGCAGATAGCCCCGCTGACAGAAATAACTTGGTGAACATAACACACTTTGGTATATATTGTGCTCAAGACGAGTGCTGGGGGCAGTGAAAACAAATGCTGGACGAGACGATAGTGCAGTGATGGAAGAAGGGTGCATTGCGGGTGAGGAGAACAATTTCAGTTACATATTTACAGAGTTATGGATAGGTGGTTACGAAAGGCATCCACAACGTGAACAATAAATGAGTTCAGTGCAATATATGAACAATTAACAGGGTGACTGATAAAGCAGTAAAAATAATTTCTAAAATAGGGCTAAATACTAAATAGCAATACTAAAAATAATAAAAAGTAAAACACTAAAAAGCGAAATAATACATAAATAAAAAAAGGCAAAACAGTGAAATTAATACATAAAATAAGGCAAAATACATAATTCAAGGTTCACAATTCAGGGTTTACAGTTCAAGGAGATAAGTATAAACAGGGGGGAAAAAAGCAGAAAAAGCTAACTTAAGGCAAAATAAATTCATTACAGGTACAGAGTATACGGGGACTGTGCTGGTGACGAGGATGACAGCTGAGAATTATTACAACCTGTCTGAGATTTTGGGTACAATATTTACGCAATCGCATATGCGTTTCAATGCACATGCGTTCATTGCTATCCCAGCCCGTACAAGTAAGCCTTCTTCTTTGTAAAAGTCTCTTTCGAAGATGTTTGGCACTCGGTAACATGTCCCTGGCTCTTGCCATATTATTGCTTCTCGGGAATCGTTCTGGATGTTAAATCGAGATTCATCAGTAAAGAGTTCGTGGCCCCACTGCTCTGGTGTCCGGTGCTTGATAGGTTTTCAAACTGACCCTCTTTCCAAACTGACCTGTGATGTTCGCGGGTCCAATTCAACCGCGGTTTGACATGCAATGGGGACAAAGGAAAACAATCCTCAAGTAGTCGGGGGCGTACAGTCCACCTTCAAGCAGTCGACCCGACATAGTTTGACGGGATATGGGCCGTTCAGCAGCAAGAGAAAGATGCGACGCCAGCTGTCGTTCTGTTAGTGATACTCGGGGATCTTGCACATAGCAGTAGGAAGCGATTGTCTGCCACTGTGTAAATGCTCGAATCCAGACCCACGTTTTCTGCAGGGGTTTTAATCCCTTTGGTAACGATTCCAGAGCCTACTGATGACATTATGATGTACATTCAGCTCTCTTGCAACAGCAGATTATCTCGCACCTGTTTGCATGCCCCCTATAGCCTCCGACGTATTTCGTTCTGCAAATGGTTTCTTCAACTCATGCTTTCCTCTTTCACTATCTCGGATTATACGGAACTATTGCTGTTTGAAAACTGATGCAAAAGTGCGGCATGTCCCTTTTTAAGACGTTGTGATGTGACTGCGGGATTGCGTTTTGTATTAATTTTGGTTGCCTATTTACATTCGGCGATGCAACACCTCTACCTCATATATAAATTGTATGTTTTATTTTACCTTTTTATATTCGTACCTTTTCGTTTAGTGTTTGTTGTTTATTTTTTTTAGCACGAGTGTATCAGTCGCATTTCATGTCATCATTAGCGTTTTATGTTTCGTCAAAGTTGTTAAAAATTTGTACGAATTCATATGTCGAGATATAGTTGTCGTCCTGGATATTTTAACAGCTATAGAGATTGAAACTTCCGGCTTTAATTATCCCAAAATTCTGTCATAAAATTAGCATTAAAACCTATGAAACCCTTAACAATATTATTAATCAGCACTTTTTCTGTTTCTTGAAAGCTATTAAGTCGAGATATGTCCTCTTGCCGCTCATTTATGTAAGTTATTATTTCTGGATCAACAGTAAAACAAACGTAAAGGATATTTAAAACACTTTATTCATACATTTTAATGATGATGTGTGATCATTTAGATATAAAATATTTTGTAACATTCAGAAAGGTAAATATAAATTTGAGATTACTGAATTATACAATTTCATGCCCAGTACTGTAAATGTTAGGCAGTCAACATTTTAAAAAAAAACCATAATCTCTTATAAAAAATTAACGTTACATTGCAAAATTATAAGCATTTTCAGGAAACATAATGCAATGGAAAAATATAATTAAATTACGGCCCTTCTTTTTTTAAAAAAGGGGGGCTAATTTTTTTTAATTTAAAAAATCTGTATAATCCCTATCTATTTTTTTTTAAATACAAGCATGAAAAAATATGTAAAAAATTGCAAGTATTCGTTTCTTAAAATTACCAGTTTCTACATGTATTCCTTTTGTTATAGATTTATTATTCGTGTCGATACTAAATAACTTCGAAAGGAAAATTTCTTGATCTTAAATGCTCTCTTTTTGTTTCCAACCTAGGTCCTGGCTTGGCCTTCTTAGCCTATCCTTCAGCTGTGTTGAAGCTACCTATATCACCCCTGTGGGCTGTGCTTTTCTTCCTCATGATATTAATGCTAGGTCTTGACAGTCAGGTAATACAACTAATAATTTTACAATTATCAAAACTGGTAGCTCATAACTACATAAATATGGGAAATACTCACCAAAATACAATTTTAAAACAAACAGTCACTTTGTCTTAGCACGATCAACAGTTCACCCGTTTTAAAATGAAAATGTTCAAAATTACGTTTTCTATGCAGATATGTTTATTTGCACACATTTTTAATTCAAAAGCCAGTGGACTACTTTAAAATGGTAAAAAGTTATTTAGGACTTTAGGAGAAATAATTAGTGAAAGCTTTAGAGAATTTTTTATATAACCTGCCATTTTACTTTTAATGAACATTATACTTAATAATTCCATGGCATTATTATACTTCTGCATTTTCTTGCGGTCAATATAGAACTGCTCTTAGTTTGTTTCTAATAATGGATGACTCATTTAAGAGGTAAGTTTTATTATTTTCTGGCTGGAAGACTTAAAATAGGATCTAAAATAAGGTACGTTAAATTTTGTATGTAGTTTATACCTAAAATGTGCTTGAAAAGTGTTGTTCTATTTAATATCTACCATTTGTTAAATGTGTTCTCTAATTGTATGTCTTACTTTCTGACATATTCTGTTTTCTATACAGGATCGCTTCATCAATTAAATGATCGATGGGCACAGTGTTCATTATGTCAAAATGTTAAGTCAATTCACAATCAATAATAATAAAATTAATTTAATTTATAATTAACATATCACAAGCTGATGATTTTACACTCCCGTCCTTTGTCATGTCTCAAATCCATCTCCCCGAACACACACAATAGCGCCTTTAGCGCCCTCTCGTAGTACGTTTATTAATATTCGTTTGCTGTTTCTTATATGTGTAAGATCCATAATAACATGAAAGTTTTATTTTATACTCATTAACTTCCTTTTATGAAGAAAACTTTCATTTTTCGAGTATATTTAAATTCGCTCAAAGTACTATAATACATTGAACGTTCTTCGTTCAAACTAAGTAATAACTTTCTTGAAACTTGATTAAAACGAAATTTTTACATTGAAAGAATATATAAATTCACGTGGGAATTTTCTTAATTAAGCTTTACTTAAACATTAACAAGCATCATCCTCTTTGACAATTTAATAAAAAGTTGTCAAAAATCAAAAAAGCAAGTCTAAAATTTAAACACATATCATTAATTAACATCAACATTAATCAAAAACTCTTTGTTAACAGGCAAGTCAAAGACAGGAAAGATACTATTAAGTATTGCAGAATTGTTACTTGGATAGGCTGGTTATTAAATTTGCTTCGTAAATGAGTTCTTAACATCGCTATAATAGTTCTATATCGCAGTCTGAATAGTCAGAAATCCTGAAATTTTGCCACCTTTCTTTCATTTACTATCGTTGAAAAGATATTATTGAAAACTGTGGCAAATTAAAGAGGATAATTTCATTTAGTCTCAAACGAATAACTTCATAATTCTGAAGAATAGTATTATACCAAGTATTAAGCATTGCTAATATTATGTTTACACACGTTTTTCTCTGCCGTGCGTGTTTTCTCCCTAGCATTTTCAGCCCATGATTTAGAATCTTTTTATATGTGAGAGCAATGTAAACGATATCGCGAGACAGCTAAGACACAATGCAGATAAAAAAAAATATATTACTCACTTATATTCCAGTAAGTATTATTCCTACTTACTAAAATTGTACATGTGATAATCAGTTTCTTACGAATGTAGGATATGAATGCATTTATTCATGTCTGTTTTTCTTGCTTAAAATTCATCTTTTAATCCTTTACTTCATAAATGGCATAGTTCGGTTAATTTTTCTCTCTCGATTCCAAGTAGTAAAATTACTAAACCAAGGGGGAGGGGGGGGAATGTGCGAGTAATTAAGGTAAATTATTCATAAATGGAACTGTATACAAACTTTCTGATTGTAACTTTTACGAGATGAATCAACACCAAATAAACATTTTTAAGAGCCTCTACTGTACTTGAAATAACGATTTATGAACAAATATTGATGAATTATAATAAATTTTCATTCGAATTTTCGACCCACCTCATATTTATGAAATGTTCTGAGATGCATCAAAGAAACACTAATGAATACTTTGCAGAATAGGAAGCTTTTTGTCCAGCAAAACCATATTCATTACGAAGAGTCTGTAAGTACTCTTTGGAACACGAATTCAGTATCATATTCAGCGAGAATGAAAGCGGAAATTAGAGTCACGAGAGCTCCAGAGCATTAGACCCCGTTTTATATCCTGTGAGTCAGTCTGCATTTCCTGTGCTGCTGCTTATCATTGAAGGGTAATATGATGCGATTAACAGCAGTGTAATCAAATGTTATGTTACTGACTTTTGCGACATAACAAACAATTAAAGCTGAACAAATAGTTTGAAACAAAAATCGCCTGATTATCAAGTAACGGGACTTTCCTCACTGTATTTCGCCGTTTAATATCATCAATCAAACTCTGAATACTTCTGAAATTGATCTGCAATAAGGTCGTGATAGATGGCGACTCATCGACCCCTTGCATTTTCATTTTAAAATAGAGAAAAAAACGTAACAAGTACACTTACAGTTCTCTGCAAAATCCAGCAGACCGAAAATAGCTTAAACTTATAAATTTGGTCCAAAATTATTGTATTTATCATCTTCTGATTTTTCAGATTTTAAATTATTAAGCAACTGAAATTGTCATAATCGTCATTAACATTTGATTTGCGTGGGAAAATATTATTCCTTATAAGCTCTTCACAGCTAAAGGGGATCAGACGTCGCATTACTACTTTTTCTTTTAGCGGTTAATTCCTTTGTTTAAGTATTTAAGAAAGCAGTGCATTTTTAAAAAGGAAATCATTTGATTTTTTTTAAGATAATGAGTATTTACTTTCTTACGCGGTTGGATCACACACGTAAAGACCTCTGCTTATGAATGACATTTCACAATGCACATCTTTTTACGTATTCAATAAACAAATATTGAGTTGCAACATATTAGTGGCTTGTAAATGGAAAGCCTTAGTCCTTGCGAACTTCGCTGACGTTCAGTCCCCTGGAAAAAATGTGCAAATGACAAATAGGTTCTCCAGCAACTAGGCAACTTTAGAATGCAAATCCAACAGTTAATCTAACCAACCACAAATCCAAACAAACGTTAACAGCAACTTTAGAATGCAAATATAACCCCAAACAGATTACTATCTAACAGCGAAATATATTATAATCGTCAATAACTTATTAAATGCCATTAAATATTTCTTCGGATTCTTTTACGAAATCTCATTCGATAGATTTTATTAATGATGCATGTTCATAAAAACAGTGTTCTAACTTTTCGCTTCAGGGAAGGAATAGTAGAGCTGCCAGTTACTGAATGAGCAACACAATGTCTGCTCTGGAGTTCCATTGGGACAGGCTAATTGTAAAACTACATTAATAATTATCTTGATATGGATGTAAGAAAGACTGCGAAGACAATTTGCTTAAAAAATTCCTCTTGAAGCAAATGCTTGCTTTTATCACCGTAGTAACTTCTCCATAGATGAATGGTAAATAAAAACTGCGGCTCCTTCTTTCAGTTTTCTTACTGATAATATTTTTCTCTTCTTTCTTTATAATTAATATTGAATATGTCAACACACTAAAATGATGCCTTGGCCTTAGACATATAATGTGGCATGCTTTGTAGCCCGCACACCACGTTTTAGAGAAAAGAACAAAAGCTAAGCATCAAAAAATTAGTTTTTGCTCTTTATAAATATTTTTTGGCTTCAAAAAACATATCATTTGAACAAGCATGGAAAAGTCAACATATTTAAGGGATCAAGGTACAATATCTATCGTTTCATAAACGTGAACAAATCCAGCCTTAAACTGTTTCTCAAGCTCACAAATTAACCATGAAATGGTTTCTTAAAATAAAACGTTATGTCTTTAAAGGTGTGGTTATTTCCGAGTTGTATCCCATTCATCTTGAGAATTCGTTCATAGTCCAGTAATGGTTTCAACAGCTTTACGAGGAAGACACAAAGATAATTTTAATGGCAGTATATTTACATTATATTCTAAAGCCTATGTCTCTTTGGGAATATAGACTTTTAAAAAAGGATTATTAAAGAATTATCTTCTAGCCTTGTGAAACAAAACAGAAATCAGGAGAAGGATGTATAAGGCCTTTTTATTCAAACATAAAATTAACAAATGACCCAACTCGGGTTACAATAAGCCAAGCATGTCTGGCTTAACAGAAATACGTAACAAATAGTAATTTCAAAGCGTATTAGATTAGCCTAACGTTTCACAGAATAATTAAACGCGCAGGAAAGGCTCTGTAGTAAACCGGCGAGACAAAGCTAAATGGTTAGAACACTCAAGGTCGCTAAAGCAAGTCGCTAATAATCACAGCACAACATGGCCTGGAATAAGGCAGATACGCTTTAAAATTAACTTCCGAAGCTCTTGCTTAAATAGCACTTCTTTCTACCTTAATCTGAATACACTCTTGCTTTCTTATGCACATTCTGGTATAAAAAGCGTGGGTGAAAATAGAGTAATAGGAAAGTCTTTTGACTTAAAATGAACTATTACGTGAAAATAGATAGATAAACCTCACAATATACAAACAAATCAATCTTATGATTTAAAAATTTCAAACTTCTGCTAGCTGTTTTAGCTTCATCTTTCACAACTGAATTCTGCCAGTCAGGTGTCACTTTCATTCAATGTATTGCCAGATTCTATAGTGTAATTATCCAGATTTATTCCAGGGTCATTTTTTTTTAACATAGATAACGCAGATTCCACCCCGCCAGTAATAAAAGTTGTGAACATCATCAGCTATTTTTTTTACTTCACTAATCAGCAAGTTATGAATTCATTGGCAATATTTTCATGTCACAGGTGCTTTAATTAATATAAATTTCAAGTTTGGTATTTGTTATAAATATTCCATATAATGATCGTATCTCGCTGCGTAAACAGAGATAATTATAGTCAACCTCT